GGGGCTGCTCAGCCAGCCGGAGGGAGACGCCCCTGCTGGCTCCGGAGGCCGTCCGAGGGTGGTGCTCCTGCCCCCCAGGTGGGGTGGGGCCTGGGCAGGTGCCCTCTGGCTCAGGGGCGGGTGGCTGAGGTGCCACAGCCGGAGCCTGAAGAGCTTCCTCCCTCTGCCCCCCCCCTCTCTCTCTCTCAGCCCACGGAGGACGACCAGCAGCTGCAGCTGATGCCCCCTGCGGCCTCCCAGTGTTGTAAGTGAGATTCTTCTATTATGGGCAACGCTTGAATGCCACTCCAGGGGGCGTGGGGGTGCGGGTGGGGGCTCGCAAGGAAAGCACAAAAGGCCGAGAGGCCAAAGGAAAGAATCGAAGACGACAAGAAGGAAGAGAAAGGGAAGAAGCCCACCTCGCCCAAAGGGGGCTCCCGTCCCCCCCCTCAGGCACAGCCAGGGCCCCCAAGGTCCTTCAAGCCACCCGCAACTGAGGAGGGGAGGGGTGTCTTTTGAATCACGGGGGGCCCCCATTCCAGAGGGCAGAGAGGGCACGTTTCCGGGGTCCCAATAGATGACCTTGTTTAATTGAGGGGCCCCGGAGCTGGCCTCTCCTGCCGGATCCAGCAGGATGGGTCGATGCAGATGGGGGGGGAGGCCTCGGCAGGCCGTGGCTAGCCCCCCCCCCCCCCGGGAGCCCCCTTGGGAGCAGGTGGCCCAGTGCAGCCGGCAAAGCAAAAGGGGCTTATCAGGGCACACCCGCCACGCCCCCACCGGGGCCTCCACCCTGCTGACCTCGCAGCCTCTGGGCACCCTGGATGAGGTCTCTGAGCTGGGCCCTTCTTGGGGGGGGGGGCTCTTCAGACCTCCCGGGTCAGTAGTTGGCTGCAGTGGGGGGGGGCTTTGGTTGGGCGGAGCCTCCGATGGGCCATGTGGTCCTGCTGGAGATGGAGCAGGGCGCCCTCTGGTGGGGATGCAGGGACGGAGAGGCAAGGGGGGGGTTAGTGTGTGTGTGTGTGTGTGTGTGTGTTCTGTTATTCTCCTCTGGGGCTATGGAGAAGGGGGGAGGGGGGCTTTTCTGCCAGGCTCTCCATGCTGTGATACTTGGAGGAGTTGCGCGCTGCACTTGCTCCAGGAGCAGAACGGGCCCCTGCCCCTCGTGCCCCTTGGACTCGGAGAAGCCTCTGGTGGGAGGCCCCCAGGGAGCCCCTCTGGCCCTGCAGCCGGGCGAAGGGGTGCCGAGGGCTCTGAAATGGTTGGGGGGAATAAGGAGGCTGAGAGGAGAGGCTGGAGCCCGAGAACGTCTGCCGCTCAGGCTGGCATCCGGGCCGTCTAGCCTCTCCTTGGACACCCCAGGGACCACCTCCATCCACCCCCTGTCCAGCTGCCATGGTTTGGGGGCAGTTTTCCCCCCCTCTGAACCTGCCTTCCTGTGATTTAACCCCCGTTATTCTGGGTCCTGCCCAGTGGAACGAGTGAGGGCGGGTCTCGGTCTTCGGCTTATATCTTCCCTCAGTTTCCTCTTTGGCAGCCTAAGCCGCCTCCGGCTCCTCGGCCTGTACTCCTGGCCCCACCGCCTTCCTTATCACCCCCTCCTCAACCTGTCCAGATGTCCAAGCCCTTCCAAAAAGGGGCCCCCCGAAGGAACAGGAAGCTTCAGGGGAGCAGAAGGAAGTGGAACCATTGTCAGCCATAAGGTGGAGAACTGGCCTGCTTGGCTGATAATCGGCAGCACTGACACAGCTCATCCTTCTTTAGCAAATAGAGTCCGGCAACCTGGTTGTTAACCAAAGCGGTCTTTAAGTGAAACAGGATTGTGCTTGTGATCCAACTGCAGCCCTTCCTTTACTTTGCAGACCTGAGAAAGTCATTCATGTGAGGATTGGTCGCAAAGTTGCCTTTTTTATTACCACTGCAAACAGTTGCTTTATGTGGCAGTCACTAAGTGAGGACTACCGGTATCTGTTTTATAATTCATTCCAAGTTCATTATGCAAAAGTTTTTGCAAGACATTCTCGGTTCTCTCTCTGCAATCGAAGCCTTGATTGCTAAGTGGAGCACTTTGGATTTTCCTGCTAAATCTCATGGCTTTTACCCTACTTCTCTAATCCACCCAGATCATGTTGACTTCGCTTGTCTTCTACAGCATCAGCTACTCCTCCCAATTTCTGTTGTCTGCTAATGTGATCGTGATTGAATCCACCTCTTCCTCCAAGTCATTAATCATTAAAGAGAAGAGGACCCAGGACGGATCTGGTGGTGTTCCACTTGAGATCCCCCTTCAGATGAGCGGAGCCATCCGTGAGCACGTTAAAGAACCATTTGCATTCCAGCCATGTGGCAGCCATCCAGCATCCACTTACCTAGCTTGCTAATTAGGCTGTTTTGAGGCAGTTTATCAAATGCTTTGCTGAAATTAAAATATATCACATCTAGGGCATTCCATCAATCTACTAAGAACTGCCTGGAGTTAAAGTCAGTCTTGCCGCAATCTAAGTTGACTTCAGTTAATGGCCTCATTCTTTTCCAGATGTTTCCAGGTTCTGCTCCAGAATTTTCTCAAGTCTTGATGTCCGACAGGTTGGTCTGCAGTTCCCTGGATCTTCCTTTCCCCTCTTTCAGGACAGGGACACGTTGGCCTTGCTCCAACCACCCAGCCCTTTACCTGTATGAAGTCAGAGCCACTTTCTTTCTCTTGCCGTCCGTTTACTCGGAGCCAAGCCGCACTAAAAGCCTCCAATACAGGAACACAATGTTGCCAGCCAATCAAGACAAAAAAAGCCACAAAACAGACAGAAGATATTAGAAACACCGATCAAGCAGAACACAGCAAACTCCAAGACCAATAAACACAGACCAAGACTCCCAACCAATCAGGATGAAGAAAAAACCATTCTGGCACAGCAGTAGGCTAGCCCCAAATTTAAAACTGAAACAACTGTAAAAGTCTGACTCACAGACGAACACAATACAGAAGCCTGATGATGGCAGATGAGATTCTGCCGAAACGCTGCTACAACTTTAAAAGCACAACTCTAATGACGTGGGAAAATACCCGAACAGAGCTGAATACCATACATACATACGTACATACATACGTATATATACAATGAAATTTATTTTGCTCCTGCTGGTTCTATCCATAACAAAAATACAATACAACATAAATAGTATAGAAAACGGTCCTTATGCAAGTAATTAGGGAGAAACCAGTCTCATGTTTCCATGTATGCATGGAGTGATTGTAGTTGTATTTAGGAGTCTGACAGCCCACGGATAAAAGCTCTTTTTAAACCTGTTTGTTCGACTGGCTCTGCTTCTATGCCTTCTGCCCGATGGTAAAAGTGAAAAAAGACACTGACCAGGATGGGAATTGTCCCCAAGTGCCTTCCTTACTCTGCTGAAGCAGCCAGACCGGTCGATGTCGTCCAGCGGTGTTAGGGGGCAACCGATGGTTTCTTGTGCCAAATTATCACTGTCCGTAGTGCCTTCCTGTCCACAGCTGTTGAACCAACATGCCCTACTGTTATACAGCACGTGAGGACCCTTTCTATCTTATCGGGACCGATAGAAAGAAGTCATCAGCCATTGTTCCACCTGATTTTTCCGCAGGACTCTAAGGCAAGGAAGTCTCTGCTGATCCTTCCTAACCACCTGGGAAGTGCTGTATGTCCAGGTGAGGCCTTGACTAATGAGCCCCCCCCCCCAGAGGAGGGCTCTTAGAAGGCTCTCTCCACATGGCGCCCCCTTGAGATACAGTGGGGCAAGTTCCTCCAGCACCCTCTTCTTTGTCTGCTAGAGTTTAAATGTAGGTTGTTTTTTGAGCTTCTGGGCTTTCTCTTCAGGTGCTGATTCGTCCCCTCCAGTTATAAGACCTAGCACGGTTGTATCGTCTGCAAACTTTTCTTGTCAACCCAAAGCCCCTGAAGGCAGGACAAGAAGCCACAGTTGGAAACTCGTCAAGGAGAGAAGCAACCTAGAACTAAGGAGACGTTTCCCTGACAGTCAGAACAAACGATGAGTGGGACGTCTTCCCTCCAGAAGTTGCTCCATCGCGGGAGGTTTTCAAGAAGCAATTGGACAACCCTTTGTCTGAAATGGTAGAGACAACCCTGGCTTCAGCCAGGGGGGTAGGACTAGAAGACCTCCAAGGTCCCTTCCCACTCTGTTGTTCTGTTACTGTGGGTGCAAGAGGGGGGAGGAAAGGTGGCCAGTTCTGCTCCTGAGGCCAGGGTGGGGGGCCTGGACCTTTTCTGTGGGATGGTTGCCTTGTTCCTCCAGCCACCGCTCCCCCATCTTAGCAGCTCCTCTTGGGGCAGAGGATAGGAAACACCTGGCAGGGGGGATTAACGGGCTGCTGTGCTGGCAGCGAAGGTGATGTTGGGCACCGCAGGAGCCAGATCCGGAGATGCCTCCAGCCAGATCGCACCTGCTGCGCAGAAAGGGAAGAAGCCGTGTTGGTCTTCCGAACTGCGGTTCCCACCTTGATAAGGAAGATTGTTCCTGGCCGGCCACCAGGGAGATGAAGGCCTCTGGGGCCCCCTTTGGAGGCTGTTACGACACGGGTGTTGCTCAGTTGGGAAAAGACACGCAGCTTTCTTGATTGACAGGCCCAGTCGCTGGTCACACAGTGTGGCTCTTCCTAAAGGAGGAGAGCGGGGCTGGGAAGAGCAGCAGGCCAATGGTGGGGGGTGAAGTCTTCCCTCCGAAGACCACCTGCCTGCCTGCACTTGCCGCGAAGAGATGAACAGGGCCCACGCTGGCTTGGTGGCCTCTTAGCTGCCCGAGGGCGTGGATGAGCCCAGTTCCTCCCGGCTGCCGTGGCGTCTAAGGAGTCGCCTCCCATTTCATGTCTGAAGTGACTTTTATCTGGGAGTCCCAACCTCTGGCCCAACCCCCATCAACACATTGATGGGAAGGTCGGAATTGTTCGGGTTCAGGGCAGAGTAAAACCCTTCCCCGAAAAACCCTAATCATGTAGCGCTTCCCTCTCTGCCCCACCGCAGGTTCCCCAGGTCCCGGTCCAGCCCCCTGGGGTGGCCTGGCCAGCCCGCCAAGCAGCCCGCTCTCTTTCTGGAAGGCCTTAAGCGGATGGCTGGGCTCGGCCCATAAAAGATCCGCCTTCAGACGGGGCCAGTGGGTGAGGGCACCTCCAGCTCAGCTGGGCATCCCCTGAAGGTGGGCAAAACAAGCCACAACCGCTTTCCGTGAAGCCCCTTGGATTCCGGCGGCGTCTCTATTTTTAAAAGAAACCGACCATTG